AAAGAAAGCAAAATAAAAAAAAGCTGCCGGTTGTGACTTTTGAAGCAGGAGGTCAGAAAGCACAGGGCTCCCCGATGACACACATGCCCTGTGAACTTTTAAGCAGCTCCATGGAAACTTGTTATTAATGCTGCAGTCATTAAAAGGCGCAGACCGCGGCAGATTTATTAGCCCAGTAAACCACAACACGTGCCAGCTCTCTGGGAACAAAAGGGTCCGTCAACTTTACTCCTCTGCTTGGGATTTGGGAAGGCTGGGAGGAGAGTGGCGCGGATGGAGCTGGTGGCTTGGGTCGTGGGGAAGTGGCATCGCCTCCGTTAACCGACGCTCTCCATCGCGGTTAGCTAGCGCAATTTGGTGGCGGCGAAGGCGTTCGAGCACGGCTATAACGAGAGCACGGCGAGCCGTGCCGAGCTCACGGCGCTCATCGCGGCAGCCGGGCAAGGAGCCTCCGGTCTCCCGAGTCGAAAGATTTCCCCGGGTGTCTGCCATGATAAATCAGCTGCCGTTAGCGTGAATAACCGCATTCACTGAAGTTACAGTAGGAAACTTGTCTGGGGTGGACACTGTGCCATTGCTCTGCAGAGAGCAGCCGGTGCCGGTCGCTGGCGTTGCGCTGAAATATCGCATTGATCGCCGCTCCAAAGCTCGCCTGGCAGCGCACGGGGATTTATTGCAGCGGTAGAAAGCAGAACGACTACCGAGAGAAGAGCTGTGGAAAGGCAGGGTTAGACCAACGCCTTGCCGATCTCTCCGGGAATAAGGAACACGCTGGATGCGTTAGATGCTGAAAGGACCAGAGGGAGCCTGGTATGTCCCTGGGAGAATTTGCAGTCGAAACTTGGCTGGCTGCTCGCTGTCGGCAGCCAGGCGCTGCAAAGGCGAAGTGGGTTAGCGTCTGCCGTCGCGCTGGCACGGAAAAATCCCTTCGTGCCCCAGGGGAGCCAGTCCCTCGTCCCGGAGAGGACACGGGAGGTGCTCGCTCACACGTGGGTTATAAATGGCCCGGCGAGGCCCTGATCTGTGCTCGGCCGTCGCCCGTCCCCGCTGCGATGCGGTGGGTGCGCGGGGTGAGCACCCCGCGATGCTCG